AGACACACTCACACTCACACACACACACACACACACACACACACACAACCTATATATGATCCTCCTTTTTCTTTTCTCTGAAAAAGACCAATCTAGCTTCTAGTCTACCTTTCTAGATTTTTGTTTATGTAGTAATATTTTTATTAGTGCTGTCAAACGATTAATCGCATCCAAAATAAAAGTTTTTGTTTTGTATATTATGTAAACAAAAACTTTTATTTTGGATGCGATTAATCGCGATTAATCGTTTGATAGCACTAATGTTTATTATGTTTATGTAGCGTTGAATAAAAGCATCTGCTAAATGCATAAATGTAAATATAGTTATCATGAAATAGGATCCATAAGATTCAAGGGGTTATATCGCCCATCCATATTTTGGTCCCCATTGACTTTCATTGTATGGACCAAAAAAAAAATAATAATTTTTTCAAAATCTCTTCTTGTACGTCCCACAGAAGAAAGTCAGTCATACAGGTTTAAAACACACGAGGGAGAGTAACAAATGGCAGAATGCTGATTTCAGTGTGAACTCTCCATGTCTGTGCTCTGTATGTTCCTCACATCGTCTGCGAGTCACAGTCGCGCAGCTGCAGCGTTCAGACGTCTGATTGCATTACTGCACAAGTGGCCTCTGTCCTCCAGACGCAGGAACCGGAAAGATGAGTCCTGGAAACACAGACAAGAACATCCTTTCACAGAGGAGAAGGACAGGCGGATGAGAGACAGACAAGCATCTGCATGCTAAAACACTCGTTAATAGACACTTGATTGAGTCAGGTTTGACTCTCGGTGAACTGAAGCTTGATGTGAATCTATTCAAATGAGTTCTTTGTATAAGGCCAGTTGCTTTGGCTTCGGTTTGATCATTATAAACCGAGTCACGTTCATAGAGATACAGATATTAATGCCTTATGACGTTCAGATTTATGTACAGAGTCACTGTCAGTCCGTTTGGTTTCTGAACTTTAACTGTTAGTGAGTTGAATCAAAATTGAACTGAATGGATCTGAATAATAACAATATTTTCTTTTGTAAAGCTGCTCAGGGTTATTCTAATATCATTGAAATACTATTATACATTTATCATTTATTAATATTTTTGAATCAGTTTTTATTTCTAGATTTTCCATTTTCTTTTTAATTTTCATTTTAGTAATTTTGTTGTGTTTTTGTCATCTGTAGTATTTTTTATGTCTATATAGTTTATGCATTTTTATTTGTTTAGTACATTAAACAAAATTAACTTTAGATTAATTTAAACAAACTACTGTAAATTTAAATAAATTTTGCATTAGCAACTAGATTCAATAATTTTAATTTTAAATAATTTTCATTTTTTAATGTTTATTTTTTCAGTTAGCATTTCATAATTTAAGAATTTTACAACATTAATGTTGTTATTAAACTGAGTTGATCTGAATAATGACATTATTTTCTTCTGTAGAGCTGCTTTACAGCTAAAATCACAATGACCTTTTTATTTTCATTGCAAAAAAAATGAATTGCAAAATGTAAACTCAAAGGAATTCAATGAAAAAAGTCAGAATTGTGAGATTTAAACTTGCAATTGCAAGTTATAAGAAATGTTATAAGTTATTAGAGGTTACGCTTTGCAAAGCAGGTTGTAAACATTATTGGTTCTGATGTGTTAACTTTTGTTAATCTGAGTCTAAGCACCGGAATAGTCCCTGATAGTCTGAAATGTGCTTTAATAACACCAATTTTAAAAGAGCCAAATTCAGACACATCATTTTTTTCTACTTTTAGCCCTGTTTCTAATTTACCTTTTATATAATTTATTATGAACCAAAAATTTTCTGTGCATGCAGGACAATATACATCTTCCAGTGCTCCTTTGACTTGTGGTGTCCCTCAGGGTTCGATTCTTGCCCCGACTCTATTTATGATTTATATGCTGCCGCTGGGTTCAATTTTTAAGAAATATGGAATTTTCTTTCACTTATACACCAATGATACACAGCTGTATCTTTCATTTAAACCTGGTGATAAAAATGCTTTAGAAAAGTTGTATGCATGCATTCAAGAACTTAAATGATGGCTTATGAATAATTTCTTGAAACTTAATGAAGGTAAAATTGAAGTGCTTTTGTTTGGACCTAGTGATGCTCTGTTTTATAATGCTTATAACCTTGATCTTGGTTATCTTGCAAAGTGGATTACTCCATGTGTAAAGAACCTGGGTGTTTTATTTGACTCCAGTCTAAAGTTTGACAAACAGATAAATAGTGTGGTCAAGTCATGTTTCTTTCATCTCCGCCATCTGGCTAAAGTTAAAACTCTCCTTTTAACATAGACATTAGTAAAAGTAATTAATGCATTTGTTACATCTAAGTTATACTATTGCAATTTGCTGTACTATGGGATAAATCAGTCTTATGTGGAGCGATTGCAATTGGTTTATAATGCAGCAGCCAGGAATACAAAATTGTAACGTTGGTTTTTAAAGCATCTCATAATCTTGCACCAACTATCTCACTGAATTGCTGCACCCACACAAATCGGTGAGACCGCTCAGATCTAGGTTTTTAGGAATTTTATCAATTTCTAGTTCCAAACTAAAGCACTTTGGAACAATCTCCTGGTTGTCATCTGAACAACTTCGTCATTATCTATCTTTAAAGTTATGCTTAAATCTCACCTCCTTGATCGATTTGCAACGAGTTAAGAAGTGTTTTATGTTTTTTCTTTGTGATATTATCATTTTTATTTATTATTTTATATTTTATTTTTTGTCTTGTTGTTTACTATGCCATGTAAAGCACTTTGATCAAACTCAAGTTGTTTTAAATGTGCTATATAAATACAATAAACACAAACAAACAAACAATATGCAATTGTGAGATAAAAGTCCTTAACCGTTTCCGTGGCGGAAACAATCTTCCATATACACATACACTGTTTATTTCTTCATACACACTCAGAAGTGAGATTGCACTGCTAATAAAAATCTGAGAATTTGATATGCAGTGTTTGATTTATTTCTCACTCTGTTCTGAATATTAAAATGCGACACATATAAGGATGTGATTTACCTGTTTATTCTCTCAATGACTCTTGTCAATTCATTTCTACAGCGCTACAATAAAACAGTGAAAGCGCATGTATTTACTGTGCGTTTCTTCTCTCAGGACGAGATTCTCACCGTCATACGAAGAGTGGACGATAACTGGGCAGAAGGCATGCTGGGGGATAAGATCGGGATTTTTCCTATCTTATACGTGGAGGTAAGTGCACTTGAGTGTGTGCGTGTGTGTGTGTGTGTGTTTGTGTGTGTATGTGTGTGTGTGTTTGTGTGTGTGTGTGTGTGTGTGTGTGTGTGTTAAAAGGCTTTCCTTTAAAAAAATTATAAAACTGAAGAAACGCACTAGACTGCTGCATTATGTCGGCTGCTTTAGAGTTTCAAGGTTGAATTGCTTACAGATAATTCATTATTAAATACAACAATGAGCCACTTGTGCGGGTTGGAGACGGTGAGAAGCAGGTGTGTCGATTCAGAGCGCTGCTAGTGATGCATTATGGGTAAAGTGTATTGATTTTATGAGCATGATTGGAGAGATGTTCTTTAGCAGGTTAGGGATATTTATCATGAATTAAACATTTACTTTTGAGAAATACATTATCTGTGTGATGCATATTTAAGAATAACATTATGATGAGAAATCCCCCTTAAAAAGATAAATATTTTAAAATAGTATTTTCAAGGCATTAAAGGAATAGTGCACCAAAAAATGAAAATATGCTGAAATTATCCTCACCCTCAGTTCATCCGAGATCAGGATGAGTTTGTTTCTTCATCAGGTTTGTAGAAATGTAGCATTGCATCAGTGTCTCAGCAATGGATGCTCTGCAGTGAATGGGTGCCGTCAGAATGAGAGTCCAAACAGCTGATAAAAATATCACAATAACCCACAAGTAATCCACAGCACTCCAGTCCATCAGTTAACATCTGGAGAAGACAAAAGCTGAAACAAATCCAGCATTAAGACGCTTTTAACTAAAAGTCCATATAATCCATAATAACTGTTCCTCCAGTGAAAAGGTGTTCTGGTCTGAATCAGGAGAGAAATCTGCACAGATCAAGCAGCGTTTACAAGCCAAAACAGCTCTAAACAAATATGTGAGAGACAACAGGAGATCACTGGAGGAAGAGTTATTGTGGATTATGGACTCTATGGTATTTTAGTTAAAAACGTCTTAATGCTGGATTAGTTTCAGCTTTTGTCTTCTCCAGATGTTAACTGATGGACTGGAGTGCTGTGGATTACTTGTGGATTATTGTGATGTTTTTATCAGCTGTTTTCACTGGAGGAAGAGTTATTATGAATTATAGACTCATATTTTAGTTTAAAACATCTTAATGCTGGATTTGTTTCAGCTTTTGTCTTCTCCAGATGTTAACTGATGGACTGGAGTGCTGTGGATTACTTGTGGATTATTGTGATGTTTTTATCAGCTGTTTGGACTCTGATTCTGACGGCACCCATTCACTGCAGAGCATCCATTGCTGAGACACTGATGCAATGCTACATTTCTACAAATCTGATGAAGAAACAAACTCATCCTGAGCTCGGATGAACTGAGGGTGAGGATAATTTCAGCAAATGTTAATTTTTGGGTCAACAGTTCCTTTAGTTGTTCACTCTCTGATCATTAGCTGTTGCCCGTGCTTTATTTCTTCTCAAAGTCATCGGCTGCATTTTGCTCATTTTGCTCATTATTCATTCATTTCTGTCAGATTGATTAGCACATGCCGAGTGCAGGAACTCGATCTCCTCTGCCCCTGCGATCACCAGATGAAAATGGGAAAATAAATGATGTTTATCTTTTTTCTCCTCTTCACCTCATTTAAAGTCTGTCCTCGTGTCTCACGCTGGGATGAGGCTCAATCACGCTCGTGTTTTAATGATGTAAATGATGTAATCGAGCTGCTTGGCTTGATCTAATCTGGTAACTTCTCACTGGTGTTTTATTGCACTGTAAAATGTGGCGTGGAGCTCCACTGCAGGGAATGCTGGGAAATGACTGGAGCTTGATCAGTCATCAATCAAAAGAGAAAAAAAAAGAAAGAAAATGCATGAAGATTATGATGCCAAAAATAGGACAAAAATAAAGAAAACGGGAAGAAATGTCTATTCTTAATATATATCATATATTTTTCTGTATGTAATTTATTTATATTTATTAACATGTTTGTTTACCTTTGCATCACAGTAATGAGTATCTGCAGGGAAAATGTGCTTAATTTTCATGAAAATGAAATTGCAATCCAAATAGTTCTAAAACCGGCTTCATTTTCTTTACAAAACATTTTTTTATTTAATTCTTTGGATGTTTTGACAGGTTTAGTGATGATAGTGTGTCTGTCTGCTGCAAATGCTTCTTTAAACACTGAAGTGAACAAAGCAGGATCAGAGATCATGGTGAAGAGAGAGAGAAATGCTCAGTCACGGACGCCGCTTACAGCTTCATAAAACACACACACACATGCATTTATACACACATGCACACTCACGTGCACACACTTATACACACTCACACATGCATACACACACACACACATGCACGCACTTATACACACACACACACACTCACAAACGCATGCACGCACACACACCCACACCCATATACACACACACATGCACCTATACAGACTCACACACACATGCACTTACACACACACACACACACACATGCACTCATAAACACTCAAACATATGCACTTATACACACTCTCACACACACATGCATGCACACACTCACATCATGCACCTATACAGACTCACACACACACACACACATGCATTTATACACACATGCACACTCACGTGCACACTTATGCACACTCACGTGCACACTTATACACACTCACACATGCATACACACACACACACATGCACTCATAAACACTCAAACATATGCACTTATACACACTCTCACACACACATGCACTTACACACACACACACACACACATGCACTCATAAACACTCAAACATATGCACTTATACACACTCTCACACACACATGCACACACTTACACACATCATGCACCTATACAGACTCACACACACACACACACATGCATTTATACACACATGCACACTCACGTGCACACTTATGCACACTCACGTGCACACTTATACACACTCACACATGCATACACACACACACACATGCACGCACTTATACACACACACACACACTCACAAACGCATGCACGCACACACACCCACACCCATATACACACACACATGCACCTATACAGACTCACACACACATGCACTTACACACACATACACGCACATGCACTCATAAACACTCAAACATATGCACTTATACACACTCTCACACACACACACATGCACTCATAAACACTCAAACATATGCACTTATACACACTCTCACACACACATGCACACACTTACACACATCATGCACCTATACAGACTCACACACACACACACACACACATGCATTTATACACACATGCACACTTATACACACTCACACATACACACACACATGCACGCACTTATACACACACACTCACACACACACTCACATGAAGTCTACATGTTAAAACAAGAGTTCACACAAATAGCTGCTGATAGCGCAGGCTTTATTCGCTCAGATCGCGCTCGTGCGCCCCTCGCTGTGAGTTATTTCCGTGCGCGTCTGACAGCCTGTCATTATTCCGCTGCACATTTGCCGCTTTTTGATTTTCTTTTTGTGGTCTTCCTGTGCCGTAATTACACCGCGTGATGGGCTCTATTATTGGCACAATTAGCAGCACCTTGCATGCGCGACTGAAGCCGGAGCTTGACCTATATCAAGAACATTTCAAAGTTCACGACTGCGCTAACGAGCTCCCGCGCGCCGGGATCCTAACGAACCGGTGAACGGGCGCAACGTGACCCACCAGAAACAACACGCACTTCACTAATCACATGATTATTACGCTTATTTCTACAAATGCACGTGTGACGTCAGCGCTAGTTTCTCTCTCGTTATTCCCTCCATCACTGATTGTGACGTCAGATCGGTTGTAACGTGTCTGTGCGCGCATTATGCATGCGATTAATTCGCTCTGACCACCTCATGTCAGAGTAATAATATCATGACCACCTCATGTCAGAGTAATAATATCATGACCTTCAGAAGGCCTCGCCGTTCGTCTGTGGGGTCCATCCGTCTGCCTCATTTACATGCTATTTGCATATCATTAGCATATTTATAAATGCAGAACTGTGAGTTGAAACAAAGGGCTCGAGTCACTTTTGATCTGTTTGTTCGCTGCACACCGTCACGTTTGCTTTTGTTTGTGTTTCTGTTCATCAAAACATCAGTTTAGTCAGTTTGCATATTGTTTTCATTTTTATAGTCGGAGGATCTGTCATAATGATTTCTGCCCTTTTAAGTGAATCAAAACATCACAGAATTAATCAAATCCATTGATACCTACTGATGTCGATTTCCCACCAAAATGATGTCACTTCCTGTCAGATGATGTCATTGGCTTTAGTTAGTCTTTAGCTTTGACATACAGAAAAGACCAGTAAATTCATCAATTAAAGCAATGCTACTAAAAATGTGTTTGGACAAAGAAAAAACGAAGAAACAAATGCACATGAAAACTCAAAGCTCTACAGCCCGCCAAAATAAAAGTTTACTTTAACTTGAAGAAACTGTGGCAGACATATATATTACTTTTGTGTTGTGCAATATAATGCACTTCTTAAAGTCATGAATTCTATAATAATATTAAATAATAGTAATAAAACTTTATTTTGTAATAATATCACATTACTTTTCTTTCACATTTGAATTTTAACATTAAACCTTGGTTGTGCATCACGTTGTTTGCCAAATTATAAAAGGCATTGTTACATTTTCTTTCATTACATTTTAAAAGATTAATTAAACTGTTAATGTTTTATGTCTTCATTTTATTACCACTGTTTTTGATGAGAAATTTGTATTAAGCTTTAAATCCAGAAAAACTGAAAAATAAAACTACTATTATTGTGCAAATTTTAATAAATAATTGTAAGTTTTATGAATTCAGTTAATTAGACATGCTTTTTGATTATTAAAGTGTAATTAAACCATTAAAATGAAATCCAGAAAATGAAATGGAAAACATAGAAATTGGTTTAAAAAAATGAATTTAGGAAAAAAAAATTAAATGGATTTTATAGTATCCTAAAAATAATTTTTTTATTAAACCTTTAATAAAATGTTGATAAATGATTTATTTCATGATTTCATTTAATTAAATATGCTTTTTGATGACTATAATTTAATATAACCATTGAAATGGAATCCAGAAAAAAATTTAACAGAATGTAGAAAAAATTAAACTTAATTTGGGAAAAAGATATTTAAAAAATATATATGTAGAAAAAAATGAATTTGGGATAAAATAAAGAGAATTTGGCAAGAAACAAAAGACAATATGTGAAAAGATAAAACAGAATCTAGAAAAAATTAATTTGGGAAAAGATAAAACAGAATTATGAAAAATAAAATGTAATTTGATATCATCCTTGCGTGTGTCATGATCAGCAGCATGAATCTGAGCGTCTGATGGTCTGTCAGGTGAAGATGAGGACGGTGCGGCTCGTTTCAGTCCTGTGTTGCTGTTCTTCATCACTCTCCTGATGTTTGATTTACTGCAGACGGCTTATAATCAGCATAATGTGATGTTTGTGTTGATGATGCAGTGTAGGACATTATTAAATCAGACAGACGGATGACGGTGGCAGTGAATCAGACTGAATAATTGCTTTAGTAATTCTGAGGGATTCTTCATCTCTGTGTGTGTGTGTGCGTGTGTGTGTGTGTGTGTGTGTGTGTGAGAGAGTGTGTGTGTGTGTGTGTGTGTGTGCAGCAGGACTCGTGTTTCAGCTTCTCAGTTGAATCTGTTTGTAATGATGCTGTATTCTCTGTTCATTCATTCAGTTGATGTGTCAATATTTATGAAATATATTTAACAGTAAATATACACTACTGGTCAGAAGTTTGGTTTTTTAATGTTTCTGAAAGAAGTCTCTTCTGCTCACCAAGGCTGTTTTCTGTGTGAATATCTGTTAAAGGGGTCATATGATGCGATTTCAAGTTTTCCTTTCTCTTTGGAGTGTTACAAGCTGTTCGTGAATAGATAAGATCCCTAAAGTTGCAAAGACTAAAGTCTCAAACCCAAAGAGATATTCTTTATAAAAGTTAAG